AATAAAAACATAAAGAATCTTAAGGACTCTCACTTACAGTCATTTTAACCATGGGGAATGATTTCATGCAACGGTTGTATAGTAATATAATACAACAACCTATAAAAAAACCATGTTAGTGACATTTATTTGATCCCAATTTTTAAATATACACTAGGGGTCAGAATTAACCCAATCTGGATCCGAAATCGAGATTTCAGACCCTATTCTGACCTTGGACACAAAATCTGGATCCGGATCCAAAGTTATGTCCAAATTTAAATCCTGATCGGATCCAAGTGTAGGTGGATCGGATCCGGATTTGACTCGGATCCAGCTCCAGATCCAACGTGATTTGTTTTTTAAGTAGTAAATTGTTATTATATATATATATAATTTGGATCTGGATCCAATTTATACTATTCAGATTTAGATCCGGATCCGAATAGCCAAGATCTGATTTGGAGCTATATTTGATGTACACTATACCGATCCAGATCCGGATCTGGTCGGATTCGGCCCCGATCCTACCTGCTCTCACGTTCTTTTTTCATTCTATTGAACAATCAAACTTTCTTACACACCTTAAGATGGTTGTGAATGTGACGTTGATTGGTATAAAAAAAAAGAAAAAATCTCGAACTTTTTTACACACCCTAAGATGGTTGCCCAATTTGAAATCAATGACTACATTTGTGATCACCTTACAACAGAAGTACATGATCTAATAGTATGCAATCCTTAAGAGGGGTTTCAATAATGAATAACGGCCACATTATATTCAATTACAGCATCTCCAGTGGTGGCATTGAAAGAGTGGGTCTTGGCCAAGGCATAGGCCACGAGCAAATCGAAAAGCTCCACTTCCTCCCACCACTGCCATCTCCCTCATCTCATTCAGCACAGGGTTCCTCCCCAAAATGCTGAGGGCGCTCCCCTTGTATTTCCCTTCAACAAATACATAGTTGAAGGTCATCAGATACCCAAATTCCTCTAAAGCTGCTGATGCAAAGAATCCTTGAGCCCTCCCCAAAAGCATAGAGCTAAGCATGGGTCCTTCTGTCAGGGGATCATCTATCATCACAATCGCTCCGAAACCAGTCTTAGATGTCTTTGTGGACGTTGCCTCGGCCACATGTATGGCTGTCGGATTCAGGCCATTAAGTGTGTCATGGAAGAAGAAATGGAGATGGCCCACCTTCTCTTTTCCGAAACCGTTTTCTGGAAGAAATTTTTGGGGTACGTTGCTTTGTTTCTGGGCACTGGTCATAGCAAAGAAGATGGTGAGGAGTAGGAGAGGGAGAGGAGAGAGGGAGGAGGATTTGAAGAGATTCATGGCCATCGGGTTGGCAGACAGCGTTAGAAGGAGGAAAGCAGGTTTACAGTGTTCATGATCCAAGAAAAAAAAAGAAGAAAAAATTAAGGATGGGAGGTAGAGCAAGATTGAGGAATGGTGTTCTATGTTTAGGTATATATAGAGCAATGTTCGCAAAATTGAACCGGAACTGTTAACGGGTCATGAGGTTGGGAGCGATTGGAATCGGAACCGGATTAACCGGAGTGGTTAACCGGACTAACCGGTCAAATAGATTTTGTTAAAAAAATTCGGTCAAAATCCCCAAAACAAATTAAAAACAAATAGAAAAATTTAGATTAAGTATACACCATCATATTACATACATTTATCTTATAAAACAAATTGATGCAACTTTTTATATAATTTAATATTTGAATATTATGAAAATATGCAAGACAATTTACAATTTCACATAAATTCAATGGGTGAAGTTACGAAGTCCAACTAACAATGGATGATGCAACAATATATGCTTCTATAATGTTTTAATGTTGATGTTGAAAAATGTTGTTTTAATGTTGAAAAACCTTTTAATACTGTTTAGAATTGGGTTTGAGAGCATATTTTTTTGTAGCATGATGTTCCCAGCTTTTTAAATGGTTGTGAGTCAAGGTAGTAAGAGAGACCACCTCATTTACTTAGTAACTTGCTCATCAAATGCAGTGTGGGTCAAGGTGTTAAGTGCTGCTTCAAATGGCCAAATCGCATATTTTAAACAAATATGGTCAAGTCGATTTTGAAATGGCCAAATCGATTTTGAAATGACCAAATCGATTTGAAGTGGCCAAACCTCATTTACTCAGTAACCTTTTGAGTTGGATTTTAACATGACAAAAAAAAATTATATAAGATGGCAACTTTAAAATGTAGAATTAAGATACATATTAAAAAAAAAAAAAACAGGTAAAGTTTTTATCCATTTCAGGATGTGGAAACATGAGAGATGA